GCAAACTATAGTATAATCACCCACGATTTGCGATTGTTGCTAAAATTTCCATTATTTTTTCAGAGGTGCCACTTTTCCGGGTTATCCCTTTCTGGGTTAGCAAAATTTGAGTTTTTAAATTTTTGGGTTTGAAGTTAGATAACAAAACAAGACTTTTGACATACGATTCTAGAAATTATTTTTAGTATTAAGACTCCGGAGCCTTTTTTACTGTTGATCTGTTTTTCTCCAACTATGCAAGCGTATATTATACAACATCTACTACTATGCTAGCTTATAGTTACTCAACATTGAGGTGACGTCATTTTTTTTCATGTTTTTTTTTTATTTCAGAATTAGTATAAAATTTAGTTTAAGCTACATGTTTTTTTTTTTGTTTTTTTTTTTGCTTATTTGAGCTTGCCGTGTAAGCCAGAGATGGACCTAAATAAACATTATTAAAGGACTAGGATTGCGTGCCAGTGCAGTCTTGTTTAATATTATCACCTATTTTAAGGATAACCATTCAAGCAGACTATTTCACTGTTAGCCAGTGATACTGAATTTGGGAAAAACCAGATTTAAAAAAAGGAAATTGGTGAAAGCCAGCTTTGCTTGCCTTCATGAAAAAAAAAATTAAATGCTAGTGATGTCACTGACAATCTAAAATGCCTATTTGGCTCAACTACAATGTTTCATGGGGGAGGGGAGATAAAAATTGCAACAACTGGAGAAAATGAGGCTTGAACTCACTGTAACCCCAAGTTGGCCCACATGTTAATACAGCTTGTTGGGGGAGGGAGGGGGGAGTGGAAGGATAAAGTGACATCATCATCCATCCCGGTTAGCAGTTGTTCATGTAATTACGAATGCTATAGGTCTTCAAATGACCTCTCCACCATGTTGAGTTTTAATAGCAGTCTTTGTTATTTCAAATTTTTTGTTTTTTCAAAATACAATGTATTTGAAATTTTTAAAAAATAGACCCTAGAATCTCATTTCAGTTAATCCGGTTGAATCTCATTGTCTATCAAACTAAAATGTTAAAATTACTAGTTTAAAAAATATAGATATGTAGGTACCTCTAAGAAAAGACATAATCATTAAATTGAAATCATTGCAAATGACCATTATAGTTTAAATAAGTTCAATTTTTAAAAAATATTTTCATTTTTGTGAAGCTTAAAAAAAACCTGTTTCAGTGTTATTTCATAATAACAGAAACTTCTTTTATTTAGATATTAGCTAAGGAATTAAATAGTACAATAATAGCATGAGGTGGATTTTTCAAACTGCTTGTCTTTAAGCTAAATATTTGCTGTTTACAGTTTGTTGGTATTCACCTACAATTTTAAACTTTTTTTGTTAAATGCACAATCCTTTAAATATTTATGTTTGTTTAAAGATTTTTATAATGTTAAAAATCACTAAAGGAATGTATAAAATAACATTATGTTAATAAAATGTCTCAAAAAGTAATTAATCTCAAACTTACTTTTTAAAATTTCTGACGCAACATCAAGTTTCAGGTTTAAAAATTTAAGTTTTAGGATTGAATTTAAAGACAAGAATAAAATGAGTGGCACCCCTTAAAAATGTGCTTTTATGTGGTTTAAGGATAAAAAAAAAATTTGTTATTTAACCCATTTCTGGGTGTTTAATTAATTCATATGTTAATAGTTGTTAACCTATAGACAAAAATAATATATAGCCGCCAATAGCAATACTGATTGCCCTGGAAACCACTAAAAGGTGTGAAAACTAACACCTTTTCAAACCTCTGTAACTGTTCCCAAAAGATACTTTTAAAAGCTGATGAAAGATGTAGATTTCTCAAACCAAACTATACATTTCTACATTTAATCAATGCGATAGCTCATATTCAATTTTTAATAGTAATTTTTATGTACATTTATGTACAGAAATTACGGGGTGATGCTACTTAAATATCAATATTTCCTAAAGTATTGTAGTAAACTTAGTTTTGTAGATGGTATAATGCCGAATGTACATGGAACGTTTCAGTCTTGTACGACAAAGGGTTTCAAAGCCGTAGCCAATTGAATGTTGAATTTTGAGTAAAAAGGAAAAGTTGAGAAAACATGAAAAGAAGGGCGGAAAAAGGCACTGTGCGTTCTATCTTATATAAAACAGAAAAAGACGTCTTGTTATGTGTGGAAGAACAATTTGACTAATAAAATATGTGTTGACTTATGTTGTAAGTTTTAGATAGATTTTTCTATGTAAGCAGAAAATATGTATACAACAGGTAATGAATTAATGACTATTAGGTATTACATATCCTATTAATCGAGTGTTATTCTTAGAACAACTCTCAACAAACCAGATTAAGTTCTTTTTGATAGCTGGTCGTCTCCCTTCAATACAATGTCTACTTAAATTGTAGCTTACACAAGTTTATAGCCTTTTGATAATAGCACAACACTGGGTACAGCGCTTGAGGCTAGACATTGTAGAAAACAACTTTTATTCCACTTATTTGTAGAACAAAAGAAAAGGTCACTAAACCAGCGTGTACACAAGTGCTTGGCCGATAGATTGCTGTATACTTTATGGTGCTTCGCGGGCAATAAATGATGTAATACACGATCAAAGATAGCCGCTGTCCTCATAGTAATGTGAAAATTTGCTAGGGGTGGGGGGGTACCATGTTTCACATCACAATAAAAGGATAACCGTAGGCTGTAGAGGTCCGAAATATTTGGGTTAGATAGCTAAAAGGTGTTAGTACCCATTTAAGAAATTAAAAATTTTATGAGCTAAAGGTCACCCATATCGAAAACGTATATCTTGTATCCTTAATTTTATATAGTTTTGAAAGTTTATGTTCAATGGTTATGCGCGTCAAAATTTATATGAAAAATGGCAGGGAATTTTCTGGTCAAAATATTGTGGGAACCCTGAACCTCAGTATTTAATAAATTAGTTAATTAACTAATTAAATTATATGACATAATAATATCCCTTATAATAATGAATGGAGATAGTTTGTTTTGGTTAAGGCACGCCACACAACAAAAAGTAAGTGGCCTGTGGCCTGACCAATCAAAAGGAGATTGTTTATATTATTGTTTTGAGTTTATATTTATTTCTATGCAACAAGCCCACCAGGTTGAATGAGGCCAGGGGGGGGGGGGGGGGGCGGCAGCCTTCTGTCTGAGATTCAAAAAGTCATACGAAATATCGTCTGAAGAGGGATCTGCCATTCAATAAAATACAAAAGTTATCACATCATCATTCTATGCCTATATTAATGATATAAACATAAAACTTTGACATAGATGCTTAAGGATTTTGGGAATAAAAATGTATAAGTCAAATAAATTCTAGAAAAAAAAAACAATAAATAATGAAATCTAATTAAGTGGCATGGTACTGAAATTTTTATTTTTGTACCAATAGAATTACTTCAAGTGTAATATACTCATACTGGTATATGATATAGTTAGGATTTTATTGAAGTATCTAAATATTAGTAGCATTAGTAGAAGTATGGACTACTTGAATAAGTAGCCAAGGATAGCTAGTCAATAACTAGCCTAGGTTAACTAGATTAGATGTGGTTAATTAGATTAGATGTGGTTAACTAGATTAGATGTGGTTAATTAGATTAGATGTGGTTAACTAGATTAGATGTGGTTAACTAGATTAGATGTGGTTAACTAGATTAGATGTGGTTAACTAGATTAGATGTGGTTAACTAGATTAGATGTGGTTAACTAGATTAGATGCAACCAAAGGATAGACAGCTGCCTCAGTTGCTGATCTGGACCTACTGTCTAGTCTAAATAATGTATTATAATTTATTGTTGCTTAGTTTCATTTATTTTTAAGTAAAATTAAGTTACATTGTTTAAAGTGTTAATGTTACTGTTTTCTCTTTCACTTCTTTGTTTTTACTTTCCATAACTATAAGCGTATACTATAGTCCTACCTTTTAACTTATTGAATTTAATAACTTTTAAAAGTTTTAAAAAGTAGCAGTAATTAGATCTAGTACTCAATCTAGTAAGTATGCTAAGTCTAAGTAGTAGTACTAAATCTGGATCTAAGCAGTAAGTAAGGTCTCTTAATACATGGGACTATTAATTCCATTGGTTTAAATTTTATTTAATAAATAAACAACTATTTTAGACACTTGGTTCTTGCCAATTTAATTTAAAGCAGTTATAGCAAATATGCACATTTTTAGTAATAAACTATTTAAAGCTTTTAGGGCCATGATGGAAATTCTAACCCGGCTGTCATTGTTAAATGGCTTAGACCCACATTACTTCTCCCAAATGTCACTACTCATTAAACATAACTGAAAACCCCAACAAAAACAACATTTTTATTCATCAAAATGGTTTGACATTACTTTATAGTTTGGTTTGTGTACTTGAGTTCTCAGCAAAATGGTTTGACATTACTTTATAGTTTGGTTTGTGTACTTGAGTTCTCATCAAAATGGTTTGACATTACTTTATAGTTTGGTTTGTGTACTTGAGTTCTCAGCAAAATGGTTTGACATTACTTTATAGTTTGGTTTGTGTACTTGAGTTCTCATCAAAATGGTTTGACATTACTTTATAGTTTGGTTTGTGTACTTGAGTTCTCATCAAAATGGTTTGACATTACTTTATAGTTTGGTTTGTGTACTTGAGTTCTCATCAAAATGGTTTGACATTACTTTATAGTTTGGTTTGTGTACTTGAGTTCTCAGCAAAATGGTTTGACATTACTTTATAGTTTGGTTTGTGTACTTGAGTTCTCAGCAAAATGGTTTGACATTACTTTATAGTTTGGTTTGTGTACTTGAGTTCTCATCAAAATGGTTTGACATTACTTTATAGTTTGGTTTGTGTACTTGAGTTCTCTGTTTGGTGTGGCCCAGTTTTTGACAGGCTTTAAGCTTGATATAATTTAGATGTTTTTGTTCCTGAATTCAAATCTGGTATAAGGTAGACATTTTTCTCTCAGAATTTTAAGTCTGATGTAATTTGATGTTTTTATTACAGATGTCTAAGAAGTACAGTCGCAGTTTGTTGCGCATTTCTGTGGCACAGATTTGCCAAAATTTAGGCTGGCATTCTGCTCAAAGCTCATCCTTGGAAGTACTGACTGATGTTTTGGAGAGATACCTTTTGCAGCTCGGTGGGACATGCCACAGATATGCTGAACAATGTAAGTCAGTCATTTAGACCAAATCTGTTTCAAGTTTTGAACAACTTGTACCAGTGTTGTTACTGTCAAACATAGCTATATCATTGTCCCAATTTAGACCAAATCTGTTTCAAGTTTTGAACAACTTGTTCCAGTGTTGTTACTGTCAAACATAGCTATATCATTGTCCCAATTTAGACCAAATCTGTTTCAAGTTTTGAACAACTTGCACCAGTGTTGTTACTGTCAAACATAGCTATATCATTGTCCCAATTTAGACCAAATCTGTTTCAAGTTTTGAACAACTTGTACCAGTGTTGTTACTGTCAAACAAAGCTATATCATTGTCCCCATTTAGACCAAATCTGTTTCAAGTTTTGAACAACTTGTACCAGTGTTGTTACTGTCAAACATAGCTATATCATTGTCCCAGTTTAGACCAAATCTGTTTCAAGTTTTGAACAACTTGTACCAGTGTTGTTACTGTCAAACATAGCTATATCATTGTCCCAGTTTAGACCGAATCTGTTTCAAGTTTTGAACAACTTGTACCAGTGTTGTTACTGTCAAACATAGCTATATCATTGTCCCAATTTAGACCAAATCTGTTTCAAGTTTTGAACAACTTGTACCAGTGTTGTTACTGTCAAACATAGCTATATCATTGTCCCAGTTTAGACCAAATCTGTTTCAAGTTTTGAACAACTTGTACCAGTGTTGTTACTGTCAAACATAGCTATATCATTGTCCCAGTTTAGACCAAATCTGTTTCAAGTTTTGATCAACTTGTACCAGTGTTGTTACTGTCAAACATAGCTATATTATTGTCCCAATTTAGACCAAATCTGTTTCAAGTTTTGAACAACTTGTACCAGTGTTGTTACTGTCAAACATAGCTATATCATTGTCCCAATTTAGACCAAATCTGTTTCAAGTTTTGAACAACTTGTACCAGTGTTGTTACTGTCAAACATAGCTATATCATTGTCCCAGTTTAGACCAAATCTGTTTCAAGTTTTGAACAACTTGTACCAGTGTTGTTACTGTCAAACATAGCTATATCATTGTCCCAGTTGGCTGGGAAGGATCAGATCATTATTGGTGACATTTTAAAATAAAATACTAATGAAATGAGAAAAGCATTTAGAAATAGAACATTTTAAGAATGAAGACCTACTATGACTGATTACTGTTTATCAGGTTGCTATTAATTTTGTCAACCTTTCCTTCTCTTACTTTACGCCTAGTATGTAAAAATTCCCATTTGACAATTTCTTAAAAAAAAAATAGTTTCAGCTTTTTTCTTAAATTTATAAATTTTATAATTTTATAAAGTAAGTAGCTGTCCTGGCCAGGCCCTGCACTAACCTCTGTGAAAACCTATCTGTAAATAACCATGACTTGTGTGTTTTGATAAGTAGCATATACCTGGCATCGCCCGGGTTTAGGAAATATATTACTTTTCTAATTAGCCCTAACCACAACCAACTAAAACTAAAACAGAAAAACAAACGCAAACACGAACAAAAACACAACACTAACCCAATAACACAAATGCAAACATAAACACAAACACAACAACAAATGCAAACCTAAACCCAAACAATAACGCAGAACATAAGCACAAACTTAAATGCAAACATAAACACACGAGAAAAATGGCCCGTTGAGGAAGGGTACAACGGGCGCTAGGCTGATAGTGCTGTCTCTTTTCTCTAAACTAAAACCAACCCACCCCCCCACACACCCCCCCCCCACCCCACACACCACCCCCCACCCCCACCACACACCACCCCCACCCCCACCCCCACACACCACCCCCACACACCACCCCCACCACCCACACACACCACCCCATCCACACACAGCCTTCTGCCACAGAGACACAGAGTCCATTTCAACTTTAGTTATTAGATATAACCTATCAAAAAATTATTTTTAGTTGACAAAAAAACTTTATATTAACAATATTTTATAACCATCACTGTGTACTTTGAATCATTGAATACATATTGCCTCCTAAATTAATTTGCCAAATTATTTTAAGTTATAAATAAATTCTACAAACATTTCTTCACTGGTTCCATGATAAGAATTTGTTAGGCAGTCCTCAATCACTCGTGATTCACTAGTGATTCTCCTTTGTACAAGCTTTTATTTAACTTGTTTCCTCTGTCGTCAGTCATCAGTCTGTCTGTCTAGATCGAAATGGCCAAGCGAAATTACAGGCACTTCTAACTGACAGATACTGTTCGTAATTGGTACGTGGGTCAAACATGAAGACAATGCATCGTAACATTAAATTTTACTTAATTGGTCGCCTAATTAATTTTTTATAAATTAATTAAAATTTGGACCGAATTAGTAGGCAGTTCTATCCACACACGTCATCACGGCCATCTTGGGCGTGGAACGAGGGGGGGGGGCTCTACGACAAAAGCGCGTCTTCACGTTCAATAGGCGCTATAATAATAGGTATTTAAACAAGCGGCCCACGCTTTTATTTATACTGATATAAATAGTAGTGCATTAATATATTTAAAGAAAGTAATTTTTTTATATTTAAAGTAACCGCAGATTTATTATACTTTTGAAATTATTTTATATTTAATAAAAATTGTGTTATTTTCTTCTTTTTAGTGCATTTATAAAAGCTTGTAATTGTAAACATTTTTATGTATTTATTATTACAGAAGTAAATGTTGCCAAATTCTTTACATTGATATAACTTTGTCAACAGCTCTTGGATCACTCTCCAGATATTGTTAGTTAACAAAATTTGTGTAGGGAAAGTGTAGATCCTGGGGAGAATATTAATTTTATTAATTGGTTAGCTATATATATATGTAAAAAGAAAAATAATGATAAAACAATGATTTGCTTATTTTAATAATTGTACACATAATAACAGGAGAATCAGTTTTGAATGTGATACATTAGTATGAGGATAATAAATGGTTATCTTTTGAAGTAGAATTTGCACTACATCATGGCTAAATTTAGGGACATAACTCATCACAATACTAAAGGGACAAAACTCATTACAATATTAAAGAGACAAAACTCATTACAATATTAAAGAGACAAAACTCATTACAATATTAAAGGGACAAAACTCATTACTATATTAAAGGGACAAAACCCATCAATATACTAAAGGGACATAACTTTTTCTTATAAGTTGGCCGCACACAAGCAAATCTGGATGACCTTGGCCTGACTTTTGGACACCTGGGTATCAATGTTTGTGAGCTGGAAGATTATGTGAAACATGTTGACCCTGTGCCATTTGCCCATCAAGTGGTTTCTTTTCCTGCGCCCAAGTCAGGCAGCCTGGGTTTCCCAAACCCACGCAGTCGTGAGGTGCTACAACACAGGGAGGAGCATATACCTCATCACTTACCTTATATGTTTCCTCACATGAAAGGCAAGTCACTTGTCTAGCTTTTAGCTTTTCATCTTACATTTAAATCACATTCAATCCCTACAATTTGAAAGTAAGAGAATAAGACAAACATAGTCAGTTTGATTGAAATGGAAGTTGGTGTTTGATTGAAATGTAAGTTAGTGTTTGAAATGTAAGTTGGTGTTTGATTGAAATGTAAGTTAGTGTTTGAAATGTAAGTTGGTGTTTGATTGAAATGTAAGTTGGTGTTTGATTGAAATGTAAGTTGGTGTTTGAAATGTAAGTTGGTGTTTGATTGAAATGGAAGTTGGTGTTTGATTGAAATGGAAGTTGGTGTTTGAAATGTAAGTTGGTGTTTGATTGAAATGTAAGTTGGTGTTTGATTGAAATGTAAGTTGGTGTTTGAAATATAAGTTGATGTTTGATTTAAATGGAAGTTGCAGTTTGATTGAAATGGAAGTTGCAGTTTGATTGAAATGTAAGTTGGTGTTTGATTGAAATGTAAGTTGGTGTTTGATTGAAATGTAAGTTGGTGTTTGATTGAAATGTAAGTTGGTGTTTGATTGAAATGGAAGTTGGTGTCTGATTGAAATGGAAGTTGGTGTTTGATTGAAATGTAAGTTGGTGTTTGATTGAAATGGAAGTTGCAGTTTGATTGAAATGTAAGTTGGTGTTTGATTGAAATGTAAGTTGGTGTTTGATTGAAATGTAAGTTGGTGTTTGATTGAAATGTAAGTTGGTGTTTGATTGAAATGTAAGTTTGTGTTTGATTGAAATGTAAGTTGCAGTTTGATTGAAATGGAAGTTGGTGTTTGATTGAAATGTAAGTTGCAGTTTGATTGAAATGTAAGTTGCAGTTTGATTGAAATGGAAGTTGGTGTTTGATTGAAATGTAAGTTGGTGTTTGATTGAAATGTAAGTTGGTGTTTGATTGAAATGGAATTTGCAGTTTGATTGAAATGTAAGTTGCAGTTTGATTGAAATGTAAGTTGGTGTTTGATTGAAATGTAAGTTGCAGTTTGATTGAAACTGCATGCTACATTTTGTGTAGATGAAATCCCAGAAGAAAAGACGAGCCCACCTGATGATGGTGTCAAGCCAGATCCAACAGAGGATGCTAGTGCTGGAGACAAGCGCCTTGCAGTCTCAGCTGCTGAACTACCAGCCAGCAAAAGACCAAGGTTTGAATTTTGAACCTTTAAGTTGCTAATTTTTTTGATACTCAAACCCCTGTGCCCCTGATGTAGTTTGTCCTGAAGCAGAACTTTCTATTGACAATATGACTCAAACAGTATTGACAGACTTTTTGTCTGGTCTGGTCTGGTCACATCCCTGGTCTGGTCTGGTCTGGTCACATCCCTGGTCTGGTCTGGTCACATCCCTGGTCTGGTCACATCCCTGGTCTGGTCTGGTCACATCCCTGGTCTGGTCTGGTCACATCCCTGGTCTGGTCACATCCCTGGTCTGGTCACATCCCTGGTCTGGTCTGGTCACATCCCTGGTCTGGTCTGGTCACATCCCTGGTCTGGTCTGGTCACATCCCTGGTCTGGTCACATCCCTGGTCTGGTCTGGTCACATCCCTGGTCTGGTCACATCCCTGGTCTGGTCTGGTCTGGTCACATCCCTGGTCTGGTCTGGTCACATCCCTGGTCTGGTCTGGTCACATCCCTGGTCTGGTCTGGTCACATCCCTGGTCTGGTCACATCCCTGGTCTGGTCTGGTCTGGTCACATCCCTGGTCTGGTCTGGTCACATCCCTGGTCTGGTCTGGTCTGGTCACATCCCTGGTCTGGTCACATCCCTGGTCTGGTCTGGTCACATCCCTGGTCTGGTCTGGTCACATCCCTGGTCTGGTCACATCCCTTGTCTGGTCTGGTCACATCCCTGGTCTGGTCTGGTCTGGTCTGGTCATATCCCTGGTCTGGTCACATCCCTGGTCTGGTCTGGTCTGGTCTGGTCTGGTCTGGTCTGGTCACATCCCTGGTCTGGTCACATCCCTGGTCTGGTCTGGTCTGGTCACATCCCTGGTCTGGTCTGGTCTGGTCTGGTCTGGTCTGGTCTGGTCACATCCCTGGTCTGGTCTGGTCTGGTCTGGTCTGGTCTGGTCACATCCCTGGTCTGGTCACATCCCTGGTCTGGTCTGGTCTGGTCTGGTCTGGTCTGGTCACATCCCTGGTCTGGTCTGGTCTGGTCTGGTCTGGTCTGGTCTGGTCACATCCCTGGTCTGGTCTGGTCTGGTCACATCCCTGGTCTGGTCTGGTCTGGTCTGGTCACATCCCTGGTCTGGTCTGGTCTGGTCTGGTCTGGTCTGGTCTGGTCTGGTCTGGTCACATCCCTGGTCTGGTCACATCCCTGGTCTGGTCTGGTCTGGTCACATCCCTGGTCTGGTCTGGTCACATCCCTGGTCTGGTCTGGTCTGGTCACATCCCTGGTCTGGTCTGGTCACATCCCTGGTCTGGTCTGGTCTGGTCACATCCCTGGTCTGGTCTGGTCACATCCCTGGTCTGGTCACATCCCTGGTCTGGTCACATCCCTGGTCTGGTCTGGTCACATCCCTGGTCTGGTCACATCCCTGGTCTGGTCTGGTCTGGTCTGGTCACATCCTTGGTCTGGTCACATCCCTGGTCTGGTCACATCCCTGGTCTGGTCACATCCCTGGTCTGGTCTGGTCACATCCCTGGTCTGGTCACATCCCTGGTCTGGTCTGGTCACATCCCTGGTCTGGTCACATCCCTGGTCTGGTCTGGTCACATGTCTGGTCTGGTCTGGTCTGGTCACATCCCTGGTCTGGTCACATCCCTGGTCTGGTCACATCCCTGGTCTGGTCTGGTCTGGTCACATCCCTGGTCTGGTCTGGTCACATCCCTGGTCTGGTCTGGTCACATCCCTGGTCTGGTCTGGTCTGGTCACATCCCTGGTCTGGTCTGGTCACATCCCTGGTCTGGTCTGGTCTGGTCTGGTCTGGTCACATCCCTGGTCTGGTCTGGTCTGGTCTGGTCACATCCCTGGTCTGGTCTGGTCTGGTCTGGTCACATCCCTGGTCTGGTCTGGTCTGGTCTGGTCTGGTCTGGTCACATCCCTGGTCTGGTCTGGTCACATCCCTGGTCTGGTCTGGTCTGGTCACATCCCTGGTCTGGTCTGGTCTGGTCTGGTCTGGTCACATCCCTGGTCTGGTCTGGTCTGGTCTGGTCTGGTCACATCCCTGGTCTGGTCTGGTCTGGTCTGGTCTGGTCACATCCCTGGTCTGGTCTGGTCTGGTCTGGTCTGGTCACATCCCTGGTCTGGTCTGGTCTGGTCTGGTCACATCCCTGGTCTGGTCTGGTCTGGTCTGGTCACATCCCTGGTCTGGTCTGGTCTGGTCTGGTCACATCCCTGGTCTGGTCTGGTCTGGTCTGGTCACATCCCTGGTCTGGTCTGGTCTGGTCTGGTCACATCCCTGGTCTGGTCTGGTCTGGTCTGGTCTGGTCACATCCCTGGTCTGGTCTGGTCTGGTCACATCCCTGGTCTGGTCTGGTCTAGTCACATCCCTGGTCTGGTCACATCCCTGGTCTGGTCACATCCCTGGTCTGGTCACATCCCTGGTCTGGTCACATCCCTGGTCTGGTCACATCCCTGGTCTGGTCACATCCCTGGTCTGGTCACATCCCTGGTCTGGTCACATCCCTGGTCTGGTCTGGTCTGGTCACATCCCTGGTCTGGTCTGGTCACATGTCTGGTCTGGTCTGGTCTGGTCTGGTCACATCCCTGGTCTGGTCTGGTCACATCCCTGGTCTGGTCACATCCCTGGTCTGGTCTGGTCACATCCCTGGTCTGGTCTGGTCACATCCCTGGTCTGGTCACATCCCTGGTCTGGTCTGGTCACATCCCTGGTCTGGTCTGGTCTGGTCTGGTCACATCCCTGGTCTGGTCACATCCCTGGTCTGGTCTGGTCACATCCCTGGTCTGGTCACATCCCTGGTCTGGTCTGGTCACATCCCTGGTCTGGTCTGGTCACATCCCTGGTCTGGTCTGGTCTGGTCACATCCCTGGTCTGGTCACATCCCTGGTCTGGTCTGGTCTGGTCTGGTCACATCCCTGGTCTGGTCTGGTCTGGTCACATCCCTGGTCTGGTCTGGTCTGGTCTGGTCTGGTCACATCCCTGGTCTGGTCTGGTCTGGTCACATCCCTGGTCAGGCCTGGTCACATCCCTGGTCTGGTCTGGTCTGGTCACATCCCTGGTCTGGTCACATCCCTGGTCTGGTCTGGTCACATCCCTGGTCTGGTCTGGTCACATGTCTGGTCTGGTCTGGTCTGGTCTGGTCACATCCCTGGTCTGGTCTGGTCTGGTCTGGTCTGGTCACATCCCTGGTCTGGTCACATCCCTGGTCTGGTCACATCCCTGGTCTGGTCACATCCCTGGTCTGGTCTGGTCTGGTCACATCCCTGGTCTGGTCTGGTCTGGTCTGGTCACATCCCTGGTCTGGTCTGGTCACATGTCTGGTCTGGTCTGGTCTGGTCTGGTCACATCCCTGGTCTGGTCTGGTCTGGTCTGGTCACATCCCTGGTCTGGTCACATCCCTGGTCTGGTCTGGTCACATCCCTGGTCTGGTCTGGTCTGGTCTGGTCACATCCCTGGTCTGGTCACATCCCTGGTCTGGTCACATCCCTGGTCTGGTCTGGTCTGGTCTGGTCACATCCCTGGTCTGGTCTGGTCTGGTCTGGTCTGGTCACATCCCTGGTCTGGTCTGGTCTGGTCACATCCCTGGTCTGGTCACATCCCTGGTCTGGTCTGGTCACATCCCTGGTCTGGTCACATCCCTGGTCTGGTCACATCCCTGGTCTGGTCTGGTCTGGTCTGGTCACATCCCTGGTCTGGTCTGGTCTGGTCTGGTCACATCCCTGGTCTGGTCACATCCCTGGTCTGGTCACATCCCTGGTCTGGTCTGGTCACATCCCTGGTCTGGTCTGGTCACATGTCTGGTCTGGTCTGGTCTGGTCTGGTCTGGTCACATCCCTGGTCTGGTCACATCCCTGGTCTGGTCACATCCCTGGTCTGGTCACATCCCTGGTCTGGTCACATCCCTGGTCTGGTCACATCCCTGGTCTGGTCTGGTCACATCCCTGGTCTGGTCTGGTCACATCCCAAGGCTGCAGTTTTTTTATTTTAGAGTTGTCTCTCCTAATGAGCCCCATGAGCTTGACATCATCTGATTTTTCCTGACTCCATCTGATTTTTCCTGACTCCATCTAATTTTTCCTGACTCCATCTAATTTTTCCTGACTCCATCTGATTTTTGCTTACTCCATCTCATTTTTCATGACTCCATCTGATTTTTCCTGACTCCATCTGATTTTTCCTGACTCCATCTGATTTTTGCTGACTCCATCTAATTTTTCCTGACTCCATCTGATTTTTGCTGACTCCATCTGATTTTTCATGACTCCATCTGATTTGTCCTGACTCCATCTGATTTTTGCTGACTCCATCTGATTTTTCATGACTCCATCTGATTTTTGCTGACTCCATCTGATTTTTCATGACTCCATCTGATTTTTCCTGACTCCATCTGATTTTTGCTGACTCCATCTGATTTTTCATGACTCCATCTGATTTTTGCTGACTCCATCTGATTTTTCATGACTCCATCTGATTTTTCCTGACTCCATCTGATTTTTCCTGACTCCATCTGATTTTTGCTGACTCCATCTGATTTTTGCTGACTCCATCTGATTTTTCATGACTCCATCTAATTTTTGCTGACTCCATCTGATTTTTGCTGACTCCATCTGATTTTTCATGACTCCATCTGATTTTTCCTGACTCCATCTGATTTTTGCTGACTCGCTAATTTTTCCTGACTCCATCTGATTTTTGCTGACTCCATCTGATTTTTTATGACTCCATCTGATTTTTCATGACTCCATCTGATTTTTCCTGACTCCATCTGATTTTTCCTGACTCCATCTAATTTTTCCTGACTCCATCTAATTTTTCCTGACTCCATCTGATTTTTGCTTACTCCATCTCATTTTTCATGACTCCATCTGATTTTTCCTGACTCCATCTGATTTTTCCTGACTCCATCTGATTTTTGCTGACTCCATCTAGATTTTCCTGACTCCATCTGATTTTTGCTGACTCCATCTGATTTTTCATGACTCCATCTGATTTGTCCTGACTCCATCTGATTTTTGCTGACTCCATCTGATTTTTCATGACTCCATCTGATTTTTGCTGACTCCATCTGATTTTTCATGACTCCATCTGATTTTTCCTGACTCCATCTGATTTTTGCTGACTCCATCTGATTTTTCATGACTCCATCTGATTTTTGCTGACTCCATCTGATTTTTCATGACTCCATCTGATTTTTCCTGACTCCATCTGATTTTTCCTGACTCCATCTGATTTTTGCTGACTCCATCTGATTTTTGCTGACTCCATCTGATTTTTCATGACTCCATCTAATTTTTGCTGACTCCATCTGATTTTTGCTGACTCCATCTGATTTTTCATGACTCCATCTGATTTTTCCTGACTCCATCTGATTTTTGCTGACTCGCTAATTTTTCCTGACTCCATCTGATTTTTGCTGACTCCATCTGATTTTTTATGACTCCATCTGATTTTTCATGACTCCATCTGATTTTTCCGGACTCCATCTGATTTTTGCTGACTCCATCTGATTTTTCATGACTCCATCTGATTTTTCCTGACTCCCATCTGATTTTTCTTGACTCCATCTGATTTTTGCTGACTCCATCTGATTTTTGCTGACTCCATCTGATTTTTCATGACTCCATCTGATTTTTGCTGACTCCATCTGATTTTTCATGACTCCATCTGATTTTTCCTGACTCCATCTAATTTTTCCTGACTCCATCTAATTTTTCCTGACTCCATCTGATTTTTCCTGACTCCATCTGATTTTTGCTGACTCCATCTGATTTTTGCTGACCCCATCTGATTTTTCATGACTCCATCTGATTTTTCATGACTCCATCTGATTTTTGCTGACTCCATCTAATTTTTCCTGACTGCATCTAATTTTTCCTGACTCCATCTGATTTTTGCTGACTCTATCTGATTTTTCATGACTCCATCTGATTTTTCCTGACTCCATCTGATTTTTCCTGACTCCCATCTGATTTTTCTTGACTCCATCTGATTTTTGCTGACTCCATCTGATTTTTGCTGACTCTATCTGATTTTTCATGACTCCATCTGATTTTTGCTGACTCCATCTGATTTTTCCTGACTCTATCTGATTTTTCATGACTCCATCTGATTTTTGCTGACTCTATCTGATTTTTCATGACTCCATCTGATTTTTCCTGACTCCATCTGATTTTTCATGACTCCATCTGATTTTTCATGACTCCATCTGATTTTTCATGACTCCATCTGATTTTTCATGACTCCGTCTGATTTTTCCTGACTCCATCTAATTTTTCCAGGCTTGGAAATTGTAACCTCCCTGAAGAGGCAGGCCACTCCCAGTATGAAATGACGTGTGTCTTCATGGGACCAAATGGTGTCTTGACAACCCGCCAGGGGGTCCAGGGTCGTCAACCTGAACCCTGCATGCCTCCCCCCAACCCTAGAACTCTGCTGGAAGCAGCCAACAAAGAGAACTCTGCCAAGTTGAGAGATGCTGCAACTGGTCTGGGAGCTGGTGATGGTCCAGCTTCTGGCAAACTGCTGGAGAAAAGCAAAAAGTCTCTCCACAAGAAAATGGAGCAGCGACCAGAAGGAAAAGATTATTCCAAGAAGTCTGCAAGCAGCAAAGCAGCTGCAAAGTTCCTTAAAAAGTTAAAGTCTTCTAAAAAGTCAGCCAAATTATTTAAAAAGTCAAAGCATAAAGAAGACAATGCTATCGATGGAGGTAAAGAGAAAAAATCCAAAGAAGAAAAGAGAGCAGATAAAGGTAAAGAGAAAAGCTACCGTAAGGAAGGAGAAGACAAACAAGCACCTACAAGCAAACATGAGCCGTTGAAAAAAAAAAAGGAGAAAAAATCAACAGCTCTGATTGATTCTGATGAAGAACTGCGTAATCTCTCTTCTCCTTCTCCGAGTTCTTCCCCAGATCATTTTATCATCGCTGATGGAGAAGTGGGTGAGAAAAAAGCCATGGATTCCATCAATGATAGTATTAATACTGTTCTAAGGAATGAACCAGATGGAAAAAGTCAAAAGAAAAAAAAGAAAAGTAGTAAGAATAAAGAATCAGATAGGGTAGGCAATCATAGCAAAACACATGAACAGCAACTGAAAAGAAAACCAGGTCGACCCCCCAAACTTCAGAAAACCCCTGAAACAGGTCGACCCCCCAAACTTGAGAAAACAGCTGAAGTAGCCCCACCCCCCCTGGACATGAAACCATTTGTCTCAGATAAGTACTCATCTGCTGAGCTACAGGTGTATGAGTTCAGTGACAGTCCACCAGACCCCCACCTTAAGCCCAGGCGACCCAGCGCCACTGACTTGCCTCCACCTGCTGCACCTAAAGTTGAGCCACCAGCAGCACCCAGAGTTCACAAGCCACACAAGAGGCTTCAACCAGAAGATGAACTCTTTGCTCCTGAGATCAAGTTTGAGTCCCGCCCTGAGCCAGCTGATAACAAGCCACTCAAGTCAGATGGGGTCAAGCCCAAGTTGAAAGAAGAGAGGAAGGCGGGCACCAGGGATGAGAAGCTGGGTCCACACAAGACCTCAAGAGATGCTCACAAGCAAAAGGTACACAAGAACCTTCTACTCGGCTCCTTCATCTAACCCAAGGGTCTCCAAACTTTTCTGTCTGAGGGCCGCATTAACTATCAAATTTCATTTCGGGGGCCAGTTTCTTCCAGGCATGTCTTTAATTTTTCTGGGCAAAGTTCATCAGCCATCACCATCAAACGATTTTTCCTTGGACAAAAAGATCTCAGTGGGCCGGATGAGAGGACTTCGCGGGCCGCATCCGGCCCGCGGGCCGTAGTTTGGAGACCCCTGATCTATACCAATGCTTTCACTTCATCTGAACAAACCCAATACTTTCACTTCATCTGAACAAACCCAATACTTTCACTTCATCTGAACAAACCCAATACTTTCACTTCATCTGAACAAACCCAATACTTTCACTTCATCTGAACAAACCCAATACTTTCACTTCATCTGAACAAACCCAATACTTTCACTTCATCTGAACAAACCCAATACTTTCACTTCATCTGAACAAACCCAATACTTTCACTTCATCTGAACAAACCCAATACTTTCACTTCATCTGAACAAACCCAATACTTTCACTTCATCTGAACAAACCCAATACTTTCACTTCATCTGAACAAACCCAATACTTTCACTTCATCTGAACAAACCCAATACTTTCACTTCATCTGAACAAACCCAATACTTTCACTTCAACTGAACAAACCCAATACTTTCACTTCATCTGAACAAACCCAATACTTTCACTTCATCTGAACAAACCCAATACTTTCACTTCATCTGAACAAACCCAATACTTTCACTTCATCTGAACAAACCCAATACTTTCACTTCATCTGAACAAACCCAATACTTTCACTTCATCTGAACAAACCCAATACTTTCACTTCATCTGAACAAACCCAATACTTTCACTTCATCTGAACAAACCCAATACTTTCACTTCATCTGAACAAACCCAATACTTTCACTTCATCTGAACAAACCCAATACTTTCACTTCATCTGAACAAACCCAATACTTTCACTTCATCTGAACAAACCCAATACTTTCACTTCATCTGAACAAACCCAATACTTTCACTTCATCTGAACAAACCCAATACTTTCACTTCATCTGAACAAACCCAATACTTTCACTTCATCTGAACAAACCCAATACTTTCACTTCATCTGAACAAACCCAATACTTTCACTTCATCTGAACAAACCCAATACTTTCACTTCATCTGAACAAACCCAATACTTTCACTTCATCTGAACAAACCCAATACTTTCACTTCATCTGAACAAACCCAATACTTTCACTTCATCTGAACAAACCCAATACTTTCACTTCATCTGAACAAACCCAATACTTTCACTTCATCTGAACAAACCCAATACTTTCACTTCATCTGAACAAACCCAATACTTTCACTTCATCTGAACAAACCCAATACTTTCACTTCATCTGAACAAACCCAATACTTTCACTTCATCTGAACAAACCCAATACTTTCACTTCATCTGAACAAACCCAATACTTTCACTTCATCTGAACAAACCCAATACTTTCACTTCATCTGAACAAACCCAATACTTTCACTTCATCTGAACAAACCCAATACTTTCACTTCATCTGAACAAACCCAATACTTTCACTTCATCTGAACAAACCCAATACTTTCACTTCATCTGAACAAACCCAATACTTTCACTTCATCTGAACAAACCCAATACTTTCACTTCATCTGAACAAACCCAATACTTTCACTTCATCTGAACAAACCCAATACTTTCACTTCATCTGAACAAACCCAATACTTTCACTTCATCTGAACAAACCCAATACTTTCACTTCATCTGAACAAACCCAATACTTTCACTTCATCTGAACAAACCCAATACTTTCACTTCATCTGAACAAACCCAATACTTTCACTTCATCTGAACAAACCCAATACTTTCACTTCATCTGAACAAACCCAATACTTTCACTTCATCTGAACAAACCCAATACTTTCACTTCATCTGAACAAACCCAATACTTTCACTTCATCTGAACAAACCCAATACTTTCACTTCATCTGAACAAACCCAATACTTTCACTTCATCTGAACAAACCCAATACTTTCACTTCATCTGAACAAACCCAATACTTTCACTTCATCTGAACAAACCCAATACTTTCACTTCATCTGAACAAACCCAATACTTTCACTTCATCTGAACAAACCCAATACTTTCACTTCATCTGAACAAACCCAATACTTTCACTTCATCTGAACAAACCCAATACTTTCACTTCATCTGAACAAACCCAATACTTTCACTTCATCTGAACAAACCCAATACTTTCACTTCATCTGAACAAACCCAATACTTTCACTTCATCTGAACAAACCCAATACTTTCACTTCATCTGAACAAACCCAATACTTTCACTTCATCTGAACAAACCCAATACTTTCACTTCATCTGAACAAACCCAATACTTTCACTTCATCTGAACAAACCCAATACTTTCACTTCATCTGAACAAACCCAATACTTTCACTTCATCTGAACAAACCCAATACTTTCACTTCATCTGAACAAACCCAATACTTTCACTTCATCTGAACAAACCCAATACTTTCACTTCATCTGAACAAACCCAATACTTTCACTTCATCTGAACAAACCCAATACTTTCACTTCATCTGAACAAACCCAATACTTTCACTTCATCTGAACAAACCCAATACTTTCACTTCATCTGAACAAACCCAATACTTTCACTTCATCTGAACAAACCCAATACTTTCACTTCATCTGAACAAACCCAATACTTTCACTTCATCTGAACAAACCCAATACTTTCACTTCATCTGAACAAACCCAATACTTTCACTTCATCTGAACAAACCCAATACTTTCACTTCATCTGAACAAACCCAATACTTTCACTTCATCTGAACAAACCCAATACTTTCACTTCATCTGAACAAACCCAATACTTTCACTTCATCTGAACAAACCCAATACTTTCACTTCATCTGAACAAACCCAATACTTTCACTTCATCTGAACAAACCCAATACTTTCACTTCATCTGAACAAACCCAATACTTTCACTTCATCTGAACAAACCCAATACTTTCACTTCATCTGAACAAACCCAATACTTTCACTTCATCTGAACAAACCCAGTGCATTTTCCTGTCTCGCCTTGTAGAACAGATTGCCATGGAGATGCTGGCAAAATCTCAAGCTTTTACTGTTAATATCCATTGCACTAGCAGCTTTTAATAATTCCACTCACCCCCAATCACCTGTTTTTTTCCTCCTGGTTAAGCACCCCCCCCCCCCACCCTGTTCATTTAAAGATATACAAATAGGATTTAGAATAGGGATGGGATTTGAGGAAGTAATAATGTTAAAGATACCCCCCCCCCCCCCAATGCATTTTAAGTAACAACTTCAAACTGTTTCTCCAGGAAAGAGACCATAAAAAAGATAGAAAAGAGAAAAGGAAAGATAAAGAAAAGAAGAAGAAACACAAAGATAGAGATAAGGCAAAAGAAGTGGTGAAAAAACATGAGGATAAAGTGAAAGTTAGTGTTGTTTCTACTTGTAGTGTGTCAGACATGACCCATATCCTGTAGTGTGTCAGACATGACCCATATCGAGTTGTGTGTCAGACATGACCCATATCGTGTAGTGTGTCAGACATGACCCATATCCTGTAGTGTGTCAGACATGACCTATATCCTGTAGTGTGTCAGACATGACCCATATCCTGTAGTGTGTCAGACATGACCCATATCCTGTAGTGTGTCAGACATGACCCATATCGTGTAGTGTGTCAGACATGACCAATATCCTGTAGTGTGTCAGACATGACCCATATCCTGTAGTGTGTCAGACATGACCCATATCCTGTAGTGTGTCAGACATGACCCATATCGTGTAGTGTGTCAGACATGACCCATATCCTGTAGTGTGTCAGACATGACCCATATTGTGTAGTGTGTCAGACATGACCCATATCATGTAGTGTGTCAGACATGACCCATATTGTGTAGTGTGTCAGACATGACCCATATCCTGTAGTGTGTCAGACATGACCCATATCCTGTAGTGTGTCAGACATGACCCATATCGTGTAGTGTGTCAGACATGACCCATATCCTGTAGTGTGTCAGACATGACCCATATCGTGTAGTGTGTCAGACATGACCCATATCCTGTAGTGTGTCAGACATGACCCATATCCTGTTTGCTCTGTTAGTAAATAGTAGAGTGGTGTCACATTTCTCCAAACCTTCTGTAACCCACTAGGTAGATTTAAGTGAGGTAAGTCTCATTACAGAATGAGCTGCAACTTTTCCATAACCTGTTTACTGTTACACCTGCTCATATCTTAAAGTTTGCTCATACGTCAAAGTTTTTCTTGTATGTCAAATCAACCTTTATCTTGCTGGAGACCTTGTATCTAAAATATCTCATGTATCAGGACACTCGTAAGTTTGGGTAACACTGTATATATATATATATATATATATATATATATATTTAAACACATATAAGCACAAATATACACTCACTTATATGTGTGTATATATATATATATATATATATATACTAGCCGGCCAGGCCCTGCTCTGGCCTTATGAAAAAACTATTTGTAAAGGATCAAGACTAGTATGTAACCCTAACCGCAAACATAAACCCTAAAAGTAGGGTAGAGGCTAAATCATGAGTGGGTAGAGGAGAAGGATGGATGTGGATTAGATCCGTAGAGGAGAGAAGGATGGATGTGGATTAGATCCTTAGAGGAGAGAAGGATGGATGTGGATTAGATCCTTAGAGGAGAGAAGGATGGATGTGGAATAGATCCGTAGAGGAGAGAAGGATGGATGTGGAATAGATCCGTAGAGGAGAGAAGGATGGATGTGGATTAGATCCGTAGAGGAGAGAAGGATGGATGTGGAATAGATCCGTAGAGGAGAGAAGGATGGATGTGGATTAGATCCCTAGAGGAGAGAAGGATGGATGTAGATTAGATCCTTAGAGGAGAGAAGGATGGATGTGGATTAGATCCTTAGAGGAGAGAAGGATGGATGTGGATTAGATCCTTAGAGGAGAGAAGGATGGATGTGGATTAGATCCTTAGAGGAGAAGGATGGATGTGGATTAGATCCTTAGAGGAGAGAAGGATGGATGTGGATTAGATCCTTAGAGGAGAGAAGGATGGATGTGGATTAGATCCTTAGAGGAGAGAAGGATGGATGTGGATTAGATCCTTAGAGGAGAGAAGGATGGATGTGGATTAGATCCTTAGAGGAGAGAAGGATGGATGTGGATTAGATCCTTAGAGGAGAGAAGGATGGATGTAGATTAGATCCGTAGAGGAGAGAAGGATGGATGTGGATTAGATCCTTAGAGGAGAGAAGGATGGATGTGGATTAGATCCTTAGAGGAGAGAAGGATGGATGTAGATTAGATCCTTAGAGGAGAGAAGGATGGATGTGGATTAGATCCTTAGAGGAGAGAAGGATGGATGTGGATTAGATCCTTAGAGGAGAGAAGGATGGATGTGGATTAGATCCTTAGAGGAGAAGGATGGATGTGGATTAGATCCTTAGAGGAGAGAAGGATGGATGTGGATTAGATCCTTAGAGGAGAGAAGGATGGATGTGGATTAGATCCTTAGAGGAGAGAAGGATGGATGTGGATTAGATCATGATTAAGAGAAGAAAAAAACATCGAGACACAGAGTCCAATTTTGTTTTATATATATATTTTAGCGTACCCGCCCCCTGCGCTTTGCTGTGGGGATAGAAGAAAGTTTGACGAAATATATTTGAAGGATTTCACCAACGCATTACCAATCATATGTTCTTAGACGCGTGACCTACTTTTCTAAAAATTAGTTATTAAAATGTAAACAATGCCTGCGCTTGGATCATAAATATCAGGACACAGGTTTACCTACACTACTACATGAAAACCTTGAGTGTACATTAATCACTCACCGAAATAACATGTTAGAGCACAATTCGGTGACCGCCCATTTGTCAGAGACGTAGAGGCCCTCTCTCAGGAGCCCCCCCCCCCCCCCATTACACTACCACATAGGCGCGGCGTACCACCCCTGGCTCCTTAAAATAGCATCCTGTTAACAATGATACAGATTGCGTCATTCGCTAAAGTGACAAAAATGAACAGGATTTGTTATTTAACTCGTTAAAAAATTATTTGACGCGTTTTAAACATCAGTGTAACTGATGCAATATGTTAACGTTACTAATGGTCTATTCTTAGATGCTCGATCTCAATTTCTGTTTGGATTATCTAAAAATAGATGCTAATTGCATCATTCGCAAAGTGACAAAACTATTTGGATTTTTTTACAAACAAAAAGAAACATCCCAGTTAATAATCTAACCTTGGTTAATTTTTTCTGATTATCAAAATAAAACGTATTACATGGTCCTCAGCTGCCCATGTGAGCCTTTGGGGGCTGAAACAAACATTTTTATTTGCAGCCTAATCGTACCCTACCAGGGTACGCCTGATTCAATTTAGTGAGCGTTTCTAGCGCCCCATCCTATCCATTGTCTAGCACAATGTTTAGACCGAACGTATTCACCATAGCACTCACGGAAAAGACCAAGGCACCAAATCGCATCCCCCAGGGGGGCCGCCCATGCAAAATTAAATCCCCCGTCCCCACCACCCACCCACCCCTATTCCCCCCTCCCACCCCAGAAACCTTCTTGGGAGTATTCATCAACTCCCTAAAGTTTTATGGCACCGGGATAAATTGCGTAGAATAGCAATCATCTTTTATTTTTATATACCGTATACTGAGAAAATCCCACCATTCCGTGGCGCCGCCCTTGCGAATTTTAAAAATGATTTTTTTTACAGAACCCTTCCCTGGAGTGTTCTAATCGTCCCTAAAGTTTGATGGCTATCGGATGAACGTTGTGAGACCGCAATCGACTTTTATTTTTATATATCGTATATAGAGAAAAAACAAATCGCGCCCTGCCGGGGCGCCACCCCTTCGAATTTGAAAATGTTTTTAGTGCAGAAACCTCCCCAGGACTATTCTCAACATCCTCCCAAAGTTTAATGGCGATCATGTGAACGGTGTCACTGCAATTCACTTTTATTATTTTTATATACCGTATAAAAAACGCACCCTCACGTGGCGCCGCCCTTGCGAAATTAAAAATGATTTTTTTTTTTTTTTTACAAAACCCTTCCCCAGAGTGTCCCAATCAACTCCCCCAAAGTCTCATGGCTGTCGGATAACGGTGTCAAACCAAAATCGAGTTTTATTTTTATATATCGTATAGAGAGAAAAAACAAATCGCGCCCTGCCGGGGCGCCACCCCTTCGAATTTGAAATATTTTTTTTCGCAGAAACCTCCCCAGGAATATTCTCAACAACTTTCCAAAGTTTCACGGTGATGTGATAAGAGGTGTGGTAATGCATAAAAGACACACAGACAGACACACACACACACATACATTGCTTTTTATAGATATAGATAGATATATATATATATATATTATATATAGATAGATATATATATATATATATAGAGAGAGAGAGAGAGAGACAGACAGACAGATACATAGATTGATAGATAAAGATATAGACATAGATGTATACATATACTTGCATGCAAGCTAATGTATGTATTAAAGAAATTTGAATGATTTTGTAGGAGAAATCTAGGGAATCATCTCCAGCTATTGGACCAGGTGTCAAGCTCAAGATCAAAATTGGGGGCATTGGGACTTCCATGATGGTCACAGGAGACAGCTCTGCATTGTCGCCTCATTCTGGCTCCAAGAGAGAATCCATGTCCCCCCCACGAGTGGTCCCCAAATTGTGAGTTTGACATGCTAGTCTAGCTCTAATGATAGTCTACAAATTATTTTCTGTGATTTGTCTTAAAAATGTAGGCCTACAATTGTAAATCAAAAAGTAGTTTGTCACCCGTTCTTGCAATAGTGATGTTTTGAAGAGATCTACTTTACAAAATTTTGTTTATTTTTAGACTGATAACTAAACAAGCAAGTAGTGCCAAATCAGGTCCTAGCAAGTCCAGATCTACCTCACCCAGCAAGCCTTCACCCAGATCCACTACACCAAACTCCCGCAACACCCCTACACCCCCTCCTGTTGCTCGCAATACCTCAACACCTCCTCCCATCCCTCGTCACATTGATACTACCCCAGCGCCATCTAAAGCTAGCACATCCGCCGCCCCTGAAAGAAAGCCCCCAATCAAAAGTGTGAAAAAGGAAAGGAAGAAAATGAGGAAAGAATCTTTGTCTTCACTTTCACCCGACTCTTCTCCGTCCCCACCTGCTAAACGCCAGCCAGCAGCTAAACTTGAGCCATCTTCACCAGCGCTCGCACCATCCTCTCATACATCCTCACCCACCCCACCACCGCGGCGGAAAGTCACCCCTCCTCCGTCTTTATCTCCTGCCATGTTTGGCCGTGGCTGTCATCGCTCCCCCTCCCCCACCAAGCCACCTACACCTGGTTCAACATCTCCTGCCCATTCACCCGAGTGGAACCTCCCTCTCTCCCCTGCACACCACCGCTCTCCCACTCCCACCCCCAGGACACCAACAGCCTCCCCTTTACCCTCCCCCTCTCACTCCTCCCCTCCTGGAAGCCCACCAGCCAGCCCCACACCAGGGTCTAAAGCCAATCTGTCGCCTGCGTCTTCTGGAGGAAAATCCTGCACATCGCTCTCCAAACCTGCGCGCACTGTTGAGGCTGAGACAGTTTGTGTTTTTATAGTAAGTTTTTCACTTAGTCTTTCATAGCTCTATATGTACAGTTAGTTGACCTTAACCCTAACCAGTCCTAATTAAAGATCATGCACATAATGAACAACACAAGTTTATGGTTTGTCATTGTGTTGTACTGATTGAGGGGGGAAGGAACGGGGGACAAGAGTTCTGTTGTTCTATAATAGAATTATAAAAAAGGATCTGTCACCAATCATATGTCACCAATCTGTCACCAATCATCTGTCACCAATCATCTGTCACCAATCATCTGTCACCAATCATCTGTCACCAATAGTAGTTATTTCATTAAGATAGTTTAAATACTGTTTTTTTTAGAGCTAGTTCCATAATTTGCATGCTGCTTTGTACTTGGAATGATCTTTGTTGTAAACTCCATGCAAATGTTGAATGATCTTTGTTGTAAACTCCATGCAAGTGTTGAATGATCTTTGTTGTAAACTCCATTCAAATGTTGAATGATCTTTGTTGTAAACTCCATGCAAATGTTGAATGATCTTTGTTGTAAACTCCATGCAAATGTTGAATGATCTTTGTTGTAAACTCCATGCAAGTGTTGAATGATCTTTGTTGTAAACTCCATGCAAATGTTGAATGATCTTTGTTGTAAACTCCATGCAAATGTTGAATGATCTTTGTTGTAAACTCCATGCAAATGTTGAATGATCTTTGTTGTAAACTCCATGCAAATGTTGAATGATCTTTGTTGTAAACTCCATGCAAATGTTGAATGATCTTTGTTGTAAACTCCATGCAAATGTTGAATGATCTTTGTTGTAAACTCCATGCAAATGTTTCTCCAGGATGATTAGAATGATCTTTGTTGTAAACTCCATGCAAATGTTGAATGATCTTTGTTGTAAACTCCATGCAAATGTTGAATGATCTTTGTTGTAACCTCCATGCAAATGTTGAATTATCTTTGTTGTAAACTCCATGCAAGTGTTGAATGATCTTTGTTGTAAACTCCATGCAAATGTTGAATGATCTTTGTTGTAAACTCCATGCAAATGTTGAATGATCTTTGTTGTAAACTCCATGCAAATGTTTCTCCAGGATGATTCAGGCCAGAAAGTTTGGATCTGTCCAGCTTGCAAACTTCCAGATGATGGGACAGAAATGATTGGCTGTGACATGTGTGATAACTGGTATCATTGGTAAGGTCATGATAACTGGTATCTAAGGTCATGATAACTGATATCAATGGTAAGGTCATGATAACTGGTATCTAAGGTCATGACGTATCAATGGTTAGGTCATGATGACTGGTATCTAAGTTCATGATAACTGGTATCTAAGGTCATGATGACTGGTATCAATGGTAGCTCATGATAACTGGTATCAATGGTAAGGTCATGATAACTGGTATCTAAGGTCATGACGTATCAATGGTTAGGTCATGATGACTGGTATCTAAGTTCATGATAACTGGTATCTAAGGTCATGATAACTGGTATCATTGGTATGGTCATGATAACTTATCTATAGTCATGATAACTGGTATCTAAAGTCATGATAACTGGCATTATTGGTAAGGTCATGATAACTGGTATCTAAGGTCATGATAACTGGTATCAATGGTAAGATCATAATCACCTAATCAGTTAATAAATGATATTTTTGGTAAAATAGTTGTTCATTTGTCCTTTTCAGTCCAATCTATCCTGTCTCAATTCTACTTTCAGTCAAGTTCATTCTGACCAATCTATCCCAGGCCATGTGTCTGTGAACTTAATCTATCCCAGCCCATGTGTATGTGAACTTTATCCCCAGCCCATGTGTCTGTGAACTTAATCTATCCCAGCCCATGTGTCTGTGAACTTTATCCCCAGCCCATGTGTATGTGAACTTTATCCCCAGCCCATGTGTCTGTGAACTTAATCTATCCCCAGCCCATGTGTCTGTGAACTTAATCTATCCCCAGCCCATGTGTCTGTGAACTTAATCTATCCCCAGCCCATGTGTCTGTGAACTTAATCTATCCCCAGCCCATGTGTCTGTGAACTTTATCCCCAGCCCATGTGTCTGTGAACTTTATCCCCAGCCCATGTGTCTGTGAACTTTATCCCCAGCCCATGTGTCTGTGAACTTTATCCCCAGCCCATGTGTCTGTGAACTTAATCTATCCCCAGCCCATGTATCTGTGAACTTTATCCCCAGCCCATGTGTCTGTGAACTTAATCTATCCCCAGCCCATGTGTCTGTGAACTTTATCCCCAGCTCATGTGTCTGTGAACTTTATCCCCAGCTCATGTGTCTGTGAACTTAATCTATCCCCAGCCCATGTGTCTGTGAACTTAATCTATCCCCAGCCCATGTGTCTGTGAACTTTATCCCCAGCCCATGTGTCTGTGAACTTAATCTATCCCCAGCCCATGTGTCTGTGAACTTTATCCCCAGCCCATGTGTCTGTGAACTTTATCTATCCCCAGCCCATGTGTCTGTGAACTTTATCCCCAGCCCATGTGTCTGTGAACTTTATCCCCAGCCCATGTGTCTGTGAACTTAATCTATCCCAGCCCAAGTGTCTGTGAACTTAATCTATCCCCAGCCCATGTGTCTGTGAACTTTATCCCCAGCCCATGTGTCTGTGAACTTAATCTATCCCCAGCCCATGTGTCTGTGAACTTAATCTATCCCCAGCCCATGTGTCTGTGAACTTAATCTATCCCCAGCCCATGTGTCTGTGAACTTTATCCCCAGCCCATGTGTCTGTGAACTTAATCTATCCCCAGCCCATGTGTCTGTGAACTTTATCCCCAGCCCAAGTGTCTGTGAACTTAATCTATCCCCAACCCATGTGTCTGTGAACTTTATCCCCAGCCCATGTGTCTGTGAACTTAATCTATCCCCAGCTCATGTGTCTGTGAACTTAATCTATCCCCAGCCCATGTGTCTGTGAACGTTATCCCCAGCCCATGTGTCTGTGAACTTTATCCCCAGCCCATGTGTCTGTGAACTTAATCTATCCCCAGCTCATGTGTCTGTGAACTTAATCTATCCCCAGCCCATGTGTCTGTGAACTTAATCTATCCCAGCCCATGTGACTGTGAACTTTATCTATCCCCAGCCCATGTGTCTGTGAACTTTATCCCCAGCCCATGTGTCTGTGAACTTTATCCCCAGCCCATGTGTCTGTGAACTTTATCCCCAGCCCATGTGTCTGTGAACTTTATCTATCCCCAGCCCATGTGTCTGTGAACTTTATCCCCAGCCCATGTGTCTGTGAACTTTATCCCCAGCCCATGTGACTGTGAACTTTATCTATCCCCAGCCCATGTGTCTGTGAACTTTATCCCCAGCCCATGTGTCTGTGAACTTTATCTCCAGCCCATGTGTCTGTGAACTTTATCCCCAGCTCATGTGTCTGTGAACTTTATCCCCAGCCCATGTGTCTGTGAACTTTATCTATCCCCAGCCCATGTGTCTGTGAACTTTATCCCCAGCCCATGTGTCTGTGAACTTAATCTATCCCCAGCCCATGTGTCTGTGAACTTTATCCCCAGCTCATGTGTCTGTGAACTTAATCTATCCCCAGCCCATGTGTCTGTGAACTTAATCTATCCCCAGCCCATGTGTCTGTGAACTTAATCTATCCCCAGCCCATGTGTCTGTGAACTTAATCTATCCCAGCCCATGTGTCTGTGAACTTAATCTATCCCCAGCCCATGTGTCTGTGAACTTAATCTATCCCCAGCCCATGTGTCTGTGAACTTAATCTATCCCCAGCCCATGTGTCTGTGAACTTTATCCCCAGCTCATGTGTCTGTGAACTTAATCTATCCCAGCCCATGTGTCTGTGAACTTTATCCCCAGCCTATGTGTCTGTGAACTTTATCCCCAGCCCATGTGTCTGTGAACTTAATCTATCCCCAGCCCATGTGTCTGTGAACTTTATCCCCAGCCCATGTGTATGTGAACTTTATCCCCAGCCCATGTGTCTGTGAACTTAATCTATCCCCAGCCCATGTGTCTGTGAACTTAATCTATCCCCAGCTCATGTGTCTTTGAACTTAATCTATCCCAGCCCATGTGACTGTGAACTTTATCCCCAGCCTATCTGTCTGTGAACTTTATCCCCAGCCCATGTGTCTGTGAACTTAATCTATCCCCAGCCCATGTGTCTGTGAACTTTATCCCCAGCCCATGTGTCTGTGAACTTAATCTATCCCCAGCCCATGTGTCTGTGAACTTAATCTATCCCAGCCCATGTGTCTGTGAACTTAATCTATCCCCAGCCCATGTGTCTGTGAACTTAATCTATCCCCAGCCCATGTGTCTGTGAACTTAATCTATCCCAGCCCATGTGTCTGTGAACTTAATCTATCCCAGCCCATGTGTCTGTGAACTTTATCCCCAGCCCATGTGTCTGTGAACTTTATCCCCAGCTCATGTGTCTGTGAACTTAATCTATCCCAGCCCATGTGTCTGTGAACTTAATCTATCCCCAGCCCATGTGTCTGTGAACTTAATCTATCCCAGCCCATGTGTCTGTGAACTTTATCCCCAGCCCATGTGTCTGTGAACTTAATCTATCCCCAGCCCATGTGTCTGTGAACTTTATCCCCAGCCCATGTGTCTGTGAACTTTATCTATCCCCAGCCCATGTGTCTGTGAACTTTATCTATCCCCAGCCCATGTGTCTGTGAACTTTATCCCCAGCTCATGTGTCTGTGAACTTTATCCCCAGCCCATGTGTCTGTGAACTTTATCCCCAGCCCATGTGTCTGTGAACGTTATCCCCAGCCCATGTGTCTGTGAACTTTATCCCCAGCCCATGTGTCTGTGAACTTTATCCCCAGCCCATGTGTCTGTGAACTTAATCTATCCCCAGCTCATGTGTCTGTGAACTTAATCTATCCCCAGCCCATGTGTCTGTGAACGTTATCCCCAGCCCATGTGTCTGTGAACTTTATCCCCAGGCCATGTGTCTGTGAACTTAATCTATCCCAGCCCATGTGTCTGTGAACTTAATCTATCCCCAGCCCATGTGTCTGTGAACTTAATCTATCCCCAGCTCATGTGTCTGTGAACTTAATCTATCCCCAGCCTATGTGTCTGTGAACTTAATCTATCCCCAGCCCATGTGTCTGTGAACTTTATCCCCAGCCCATGTGTCTGTGAACTTAATCTATCCCCAGCCCATGTGTCTGTGAACTTAATCTATCCCCAGCTCATGTGTCTGTGAACTTAATCTATCCCAGCCCATGTGTCTGTGAACTTTATCCCCAGCCCATGTGTCTGTGAACTTTATCCCCAGCCCATGTGTCTGTGAACTTAATCTATCCCCAGCCCATGTGTCTGTGAACTTAATCTATCCCAGCCCATGTGTCTGTGAACTTTATCCCCAGCCCATGTGTCTGTGAACTTAATCTATCCCCAGCCCATGTGTCTGTGAACTTTATCCCCAGCCCATGTGTCTGTGAACTTTATCTATCCCCAGCCCATGTGTCTGTGAACTTTATCCCCAGCCCATGTGTCTGTGAACTTAATCTATCCCCAGCTCATGTGTCTGTGAACTTAATCTATCCCCAGCCCATGTGTCTGTGAACGTTATCCCCAGCCCATGTGTCTGTGAACTTAATCTATCCCAGCCCATGTGTCTGTGAACTTAATCTATCCCCAGCCCATGTGTCTGTGAACTTAATCTATCCCAGCCCATGTGTCTGTGAACTTTATCCCCAGCTCATGTGTCTGTGAACTTAATCTATCCCCAGCCCATGTGTCTGTGAACGTTATCCCCAGGCCATGTGTCTGTGAACTTAATCTATCCCAGCCCATGTGTCTGTGAACTTAATCTATCCCCAGCCCATGTGTCTGTGAACTTAATCTATCCCCAGCTCATGTGTCTGTGAACTTAATCTATCCCCAGCTCATGTGTCTGTGAACTTAATCTATCCCAGCCCATGTGTCTGTGAACTTTATCCCCAGCCCATGTGTCTGTGAACTTTATCCCCAGCCCATGTGTCTGTGAACTTTATCCCCAGCCCATGTGTCTGTGAACTTAATCTATCCCCAGCCCATGTATCTGTGAACTTTATCCCCAGCTCATGTGTCTGTGAACTTTATCCCCAGCTCATGTGTCTGTGAACTTAATCTATCCCCAGCCCATGTGTCTGTGAACTTAATCTATCCCCAGCCCATGTGTCTGTGAACT